TCCATTCCCAAACTTCTGGGTTGCCCGTAGGGCCATTTTTTGCCCTCTGGAGGCTTTAGGTAAGCCTCCTGAAGCCTCCGAAGGGCCTCTGGGGGATTGGGGAGTCCTTTTTTGCCCTCTCCAGGCTCCTAGAAAGCCTCTGGAGCCTGGGGAGGGTGAAAAACGGTTCCATCACGGGCCAAAAGTGGATGGAGGGCAGGGGTTGTGCACGAATGTGCATGGTAGTGGGGGTGGCATGTACATGTGGGCAGAACGGTTATGGACATGGGATTATGGGTGTGGGCATGCCCACACATGCCCCCCCCCTTTGAGCTCCCCCTGCATATGGCACACGAGGGCAAAAAGATTACCCATCACTGTTCTATAACATTGGAGCATGACATAAACTGGAGAGGAAATTACACCCAGAAGTAGACTTCCTTGTATTTTTAGGGAGTTTATTTGGTAAGTCTATCATCATTGGGAGCATCAGATTGAAGAAGTTTTCATTATGGTTGCTCATGTCTTGGTAGGTCCAATATAGTGAGTTATATCTAGTATGAGGGAGTGTAAATTTCACTTTCTTCTCTTCCTTTTGGCAATATCTTACTCTCCCTTTAAAGTCTCCCATCTCCCATCTTCTGGTTATTTTGGATAGGCATTCTGGTCACTCCCAAAGGAAGGAGCAATTAATTCTGCCAGTGGGCTTTGTGTCACTGTGTCCTGCATGGCATGACTACAGCATTTTTTAAAAGGGTGCATAGCAGTTTATAGAATTGTGGAAAGTCACCAAAAATATTGTGAATACTGTGAATATTTTGTATTTTTATTTGTTCACTTGTTTTGTATCTCCTAACATATATTTGAGTGCACCGTTGTTTCTCAAGAGTGTGATCTGCATAAAATCCATGTAGCTCTCAGACAGAACCCATTACTTTCTGATGCCTGTTTGAAAAAGGCCATTGATGGATAGCTATGTTGCATGTTCACTTCCTTCTGGAGCCATGTTGGATTCCATTTTTCAGTAATTAATATATGAAGAGCACCTGTTAATCAGCCATGGGCTAATTTACAAAGGGGAAAAAAAGTCCAATCCAACTGTGCTGTCTTTTTCTCAATGAGAGACTATGACAAAATTTAATTAAGAATGTAATTAGATGCCATCATTCATTGTGCCATCCCATTAATTCAGTGCAGTATTGTTGAAACATTTCTTAATATCAAGTATTTCAAGTTCAAAGGATGCTTTTGCTCACAGAGCTTAAAGCTGTTCTGCTTTTCATTTTCTGTGTAATGAAAATACAAAGCCTACTTCGGCCAGAATGCTAATTTGCATCATGTGTGCCTTTCCCCACTCCCCACTCACTTATCTGCATTAATGTTGATTGACTGTCCCAATAAATAATGCAAGAGAGGCTTAAAAGGAAATTTCTGTATATATGAAAATATACTGGTCAGGAGGAGAATGGGAAAAATTCAAGAGAAATACCCTGAAAAATTTCAGCAATTGTGTTAGCAAATATTAAGGGAAAGTTTTAACATGTTAGATCTTGTTGAATGTCTTCCCCACCCTTCCTTCAAAGGAATCTAACATATTCCTGAAAATAGTGAAACGGGTGCATGCAGTTATATCCAGTGGTGGGATTCAGCCAGTTTGCACCACTTCGGGAGAACCGGTTGTTAACTTTTTGAGCAGTTTAGTGAATTTGTTGTTGGAAGAAATCATTAGGGCAGAGAACCGGTTGTCAAATTATTTGAATCCCACCAATGGTTATATGACTTTGAATTAAAAGCCTCAAACCTATAACGGACTTGTAGTAATAATGCTAAATATTTCTTGGTATGGATTCAGCTTAACATCCACTTTTGGAAAACTTACTCATTTTAATTTTCAGTGCTCTTCACTATTAAATGAAAAAAATCCTGAGAAACAAAAAGCAAATGTTGCAAATGGTATTTGTAAAGTCCTAGAAGAATGTGTAAAGTATGGAATAAATGTTCATAAACAATACATTTGTTTTAGACTTTCTCATACTTTAAATAGTTCAGTTATAAATTTTACTCTTACCAAACACACCCAATATATATTAATGATATCATATTGCATAATATGAAATCTATCAGTCTCTATCATACACACACACATACATATCACATGAACTTTTTTCTGGTTGTGATAAAAAGGATGGCTTGTCCTATTGTACGTTCTGAGATCTTTTCCTATTTTCCAATCCAGCCTAAGTTCTGGTCTTCCATTCAAGTATTAACTGAGCTTTTACCCTGTGCTTAGCTTCTGAGCAAAAATTGACCAGAAGCTGAACAGCTGCAGATGGATGGATGGATGAATGGATGGATGGATGGATGGATGGATGGATGGATGGATGGATGAATCAGCTATATAGATGGATGGATAGAAGGACTGATGGATAGAAGGATGAATGGATGGGGCCATAGAGAGCTTTGCAGATGTGCTTCTTTTCAATGAAGGGTTGAATAAAGTGCGCCTTCAAGTCATCTCTTTCCGGTAACATAGAGTTGTTGGTCTGAGGTCTGAGCTTGGCAATTTGGTTGCAATTTGGTTTCATCACCATTTGAGGAGACATCATCAGTGTATTTTGTATTGTGCTCATCTGACAGAGCACTGGTCTTTACCTTTTTATGTGATGGAAATTAGTGTGGATGTTGTTTGTTGGCTATTCTGAGTCATGGTCTGACTTTAGGCTCTTTGATTGGCTGGCTGTTGTTGCTGAGGCATGATCTTTGGTTTTAAGTACTGTCTGTATGATGTAAATTAGTGTTATTTGTTTGGATATTGCTGAGTCGTGCTCTGGTTTTGGTCTGTTTGAAAAGCTGTTTGTTGTTACTGAGACATGGTTTGATTTCTTGTGAGCTGATGAGTTGTGAGTTTTGTTGTTGCATAGTAGTTCCCTCGAATAGTGACAAAATGTTTGCAACCAAATTGTCAAGTTCCTAGCTCAGACCAACAGCCCAATTACCAACCTAAGCTACCTATGATGTTGAGATGATTCACACCCTGGTCTCTTTGCACTTCTACCATTGGGCAGAAGACATCAAAGTATAGCCAGCTGAACAAAGAGGTTTAAAGATAGTTTCTATCCTTGGGCTGTCAGACTTTTAAATACAACCACAATCACTCCATACACACACTAGTTTTTTTTTCTTGTTTTTTTCTGCTATAATTTTGCACGAGTGAGGTTAAAACCAGATTATATTTATACTTATATTCAAATACATTTCAACGTAGAGATGTACTGCCCTCTGCTTTACTTTGTCGAGGCATTAACAAAGTGGCTCTTTCAGGTGAATTGAGCTTAATTGTAGTGTTGATTACCTTAAAAATATCATCATTAATCCAAACACGATTCTGAAAATCATGATATATCAATCATTTACCTCACACCAATCATCCCTAATGCCCAAACAAATCTGGAATGTCTTGAATATGTCACTAAAATAATATGGCAACATCTATTTTATGGATAAGTAGCATATGAAAACCCAGTTGCCAAATTCTGCTTATGAATTCTGTAATTTGATTGCTCATGTTTATTCAATTCTAATAAATTGAGCAAAAAATTCAATTGAAGCTGGGTTTACAAAGACGTATGCATGCGTTCTTATAAGAATTACCTGTTTCATCCAAGTTTTTGCCTGCTTTGGTTCCTATCAAGGTTCATAAGTTTTGATCCATTTGAAATACTCTGATCTATCTGATTTGAAGTACACGCATCATGTGCAACTTAAGAGTGTCAGTGGTTGTCCCCAGGGTTTATTTTTGTCTGGCAGGGTGCTGCAGAAGGCCAGGGAGGCCAAAAACTGGCCACACGCAGCCCATTTTGGACAGCAGAGGCACTGCGGATCAGTTGTTTGATATTTGCAGGCTGGCTCCACAGGCAGGATTTAAGCACCCCATGGGCCAGATCCTTGATTTTGACACCCCTGAAGTATGCAGTATCAAACAACATATTCAAGAGCCTTGGAAAACAGGTAATACGTGCATTGAATGGTGTGCTTCACACTACCTAAGCTTCTTTGATGAACCATGGAGGGAAGATGTTATCTTGTCATAGGTGTTATGTATTCAAAACTGGTAACAGAAGCAACTTATGTGGAATACTAGGCCTTCTGGTTCATATTAATCTGACTGTGTTGATTGTAGAAGTATAATTTAATTGATGCATTGGAAATCAGGGATAATGTTGCAGAAATTATTGGGCAATAAACAGAAGGATAATTAAATATCTCTTAGCTTCTTCATAACTCAGATTAATGCAAAAAATTTATTGACAAAATTGTCAACAATTCCTTTGTCTTTTTGAAGACAACATTTATTTTCCACTCCTCCATTGAATAATTAGGAAAGAAAACCACGAGACTCCATTGATAGAAATCAAGTGTACTTTTACTAATTAAGTCCCTTCGGGGGAAAAGGGCGGCATACAAATACAATAAACTGAACTGAACTAATTATAAATGATTAGAAGCGTAGCAAAGCAAAAGACTGATTATTTAGGCACGAAAGCACCTAAATTCCCCTCCCCTTGGCATCCCAGTTACAGTCCAATCATAATTCTCCCAAGTGTCAGGTATGAGATAACTTCGAAAGGCATCACCCAGATGGAATGTCGGTGCCGTTGGCCTTGGCGGGAAACCTCCTCCGCATGCGCAGCAAGACAGGCAGCAAACTCCAGGANCTCCTCCAGCACAATTAGTATTCCCCTCCCAAATACCATGCCCCCCTCCCCCGTTTCAATGGCAGCCGAAGCAGCAGCAAAGCAGAGGCTGACAGCGTCTTAATACTCTGAAAAATATGGTACTTGGTTTTGCCATTTGGACAGGGAAAACCAGAGTGAGATGCAGGAGCCCACCAAATGGCTCATTTGACTGGGGGCTGGGTGGTTGCGGTTAATTGTTTTTTTAACATTTTAATTTTTATTTTCTATGTTGTTAGTTGCGAAGTCGTGTCCGATCCAACAAATGTGTATAATTCTGTCTTACAGGAAAGTCCAAATCTGCTCCTTCTCCAAGATCCCAGCAAGCCACCTCCTGCCTTGGTGTTTAGTTGCCAAACTGGTGTCGGGACAACCAATTTTGCCATGGTCTTAGGAACCCTGGTCCACTATCACCGTAAAGGTGGCCTACAAAAACAAGAGTAAGAGCTTTGTAGCTTCTCCTACTTGGATGAAATGAAATGGGGATTATGGATTAATCACGATTATTTATAGGCATTGAAGATCTGCTTACATCAATTAGGAATAGTTCTGTTCCTAACTTGGGGATGTTGTATCACAAAATGAGAGGAATTAAAAACCTTTTCCCCTTATATATATTTAGGATATTATCTCAGTGAAGCATTGATTGAACTGCATTGTTTACATAATGATTGACAATTTTCTGTTTTAGGTATCATCCAAAATGCAAGGTTTCTGAATATCTGTACGGATGTTAAATAGATGGCTTGGGAAACTTTTATTGAGCAGTATTTTACATACAACATTAAGAGAACAAAATATTTTGATCTTAATTTCATCCCTCTGTTTATGCAGCCTAGAACTGTGATGGCATTTTTTTGGCAGGTGCTGCATACGCTGCTGAAAAAGCCAACACAGTTCTAGGCTGCATAAACAGAGGGATGGAATCAAGATCACTTGANGAAGACAATTTTGCCCTTATTAATAAATAATTGTACTAACTCTGACCTTATTTTTTCCCCCCACCATTCTCTGTTTTACTTAAGTAAAACATTACTTAACTGATATGTATTTATGACAGTTGCAACATCCCAGGGTCATTTAGTAGCCATTTGAACCCTTCCCAGACAGTTTCCAGCAAGCAAAGTCAGTGATGACAGCCACATTTACTTTACGATCCCGTGATTCATTTAACAACAGCGGTGACAGGAAAGGTCATAAAATGTTCCTTGCTTAGCAATAGAAATTTTGGGCTCAATTCTAGTTGTAAATCAAGGACTATCTGTATTCCAAGAATGTAGGCCATTTCTTTGAACTGATAGGTTTATTAAAATTTAGAGAGAAATCCAGGGTGCTCTTACTTGAAGTCGGGATTCAAAATGACCGCCACAGTAATTGTGACTGTCACATGGGCAGAAAATATTTCCTCAAAGGCAAAGCCATAACAATTAATTGAAACAAATCTGTTCGATCTCCAGGACAATTACTACCATCGTAGCTTCCATGGGCTTTTTTTAGGGTTAAATGTAGCTGTCCTCTTTCCCCATGTTTAAGAACATTTATGATTTCAGGTGCTGGAGCCTGGTACCATACATACTTCTCCCTCAAAATTATTATTTCTAATTAAGAACATCAAAATTAAAGTTGGAGAGACAGGGAGCTTCCCAGATGTCCAGGCTGTATAGATTATTATAGATTGCTTCCCACAGATATCTGGTTATTTATCTCTGCATTATAAAATGACTGGTCCTGTGGTCATATGATCACAATTTATGACATTTTTGCAGAAAACACCTTTGACAAAATCACTCCATAGACAACAATGAGTTTTCTTAATGATTGCCGTGTTTACTTAATTCTGTTCTATTCTAACTACATTCTAATTGTAGTCTATTTAAATTCTATTTCATTTCATTCCATTTCTATTCTATTCTTATTCTACAGAAATTCCAATTCTATTTTGATTTTGTTCATTCTATTCTAATTCTTAATTCCATTCTAATTCTAGTCTGTTTCTAATTCTAATGTGATTCTACTTTTATTCTAATTCCAATTCTATTCTAATTGTATTGTATTCTAAACTCCATTCTAATTTTATTTTATTCTAATTGTGCTGCAGTTGTAGTTGTGTGAATTAGTATATCTTCTAATTCTAATATTAATTCTGCTCTGAATCTAATTCATGTCTATTAATTCTGTTCTAATTCTCTTCCATTCTAATTCTATTCTGTACTAATTGTTTTTGCTTACCTCTGCTAACTTGCATGGATAAAGTCATGAAAATGTTAGTATTCACACACACCCCACATTTGTTCTTACCTGCCCTTCATCTCCCTGTCCCATTCCCACTCCCCCCCCTCTTGCTACGCCATGTCATCCACCCCTTCCTCTTCCTTAGACACCTTCCCCTCTCCTCTCCTCTCCTCTCCTCCCCTCCTCTCCCTCCCTCCCACCCTCCCTCTCCTTTAGCTCTGGTAATAAACCTGCCTGGATGAAGTCATGAAGGCATTAGAATTGCATCCTCCTTATTTGTCCCTATCTTCCTCTCCCTGTCCACCATTTCCTCCTCTCTCCTACTGGACCTATTCCACTTCTTCGTCCCCCTCCTCTTTTCTTTCTTCATCATCTTCCTTTCCTTTCCTTCTTTGTCTTGTCCCCCTTCCCTCTCCCCATCACCTTTCCTACCCATCCCATTCCACCTCTTTGCCCCTTCTCCCCCATGCCAGTTCAGCCCCCACCCGGATCCTGACTGACTCTCAACAGGCACTTTCTCAGCCTTTTCTCTTAATAGAGGGAAGCTTCCTCAGAGTCCAGGAGCCCCACTGAAGAGCAACCTACCTCTAGAAAGGCATATTCACTCTGATAACTGACAGCAAATGTCACTTTAGCCTGCAGGGATGGAGTCATAAAGCCATGAGAATTCCCAAAGAGATGACCTGCCTCCCTTATCCTCCTATCAAAACTTACCTGCTCCTCCACCTTTGTGACCTACATCCATGCCACACAAAGGTCTCCAGGAAGCTACCAAACCAATCAGTAAAGCTGCCTACTTGTCATATATCTCTGTCACGTTGCCTTATTTAGTCAGGGATTCACCTTCTATTTCCCCATCAAAAGAGGCAGGGCACTCAAAACGTTTGAGAAATGACAGCGGAAATAGAACATGGAGGGCAAATTAAACTGCATACAAACCTATCCTATAACACGGGATTGATCTGCTTGTGGGCATAAGTGACAAGAGAGTCTCCTGCTTGGACTAGAAGACCTCCAAGGTCCCTTCCAACTCAGTTATTCCCTTATTCTATTGATGGCTCTCAAAAATGTTGTAAAATCAGGCCTGCTTACATGATGACCCACTTTATAACCATCACAAATTATGACTGAAATAGGAAGGCTCCATTACGGTTATGAGTCGAAACCTACCTTTCATTTGTTCAGATTTGACTTAATGCATACTGTAAATTTAGCCAAACTCTATCCTTTTTCAACTGGCATAATTGAATAGGTAAATGTAAAGGTTCCCCTCACACATATATGCTAGTCGCTCCCAACTCTAGGGGGCAGTGCTCATCTCTATTTCAAAGCCGAAGAGCTAGCGCTGTCCGAAGACATCTCTGTGATCATGTGGCCGGCATGACTAAATGCCAAAGGCGCAAGGAACGCTGTTACCTTCCCACAAAAGGTGGTTCCTATTTTTCTACTT